ATAAAGTATGAACATAAAGTATGAACATAAAGTATGAACATAAAGTACGAACATAAAGTATGAACATAAAGTATGAACATAAAGTATGAACATGAAGTATGAACATGAAGTATGATCATGTGCAGCATCAGTACTTGGTTGTGGCTCCTTGTGTCTGGATCTCTGCATCACTGCATCGTGTCACGGAGTGGATCAGTCTGTGTCTCTGCTCAGGTTCTGAGAGTCCAGGTTGTTCTGATCGTGGCCTTCAGCTCTTCTGAATTGTTGGCTCTGGTGCATCATCTTCCTCTTCACAGTAACCCATAGATGTTCTAAGGTCAGGCCAGTTTGCTGGCCAGTTAAGAACTGGGATACCATGGTCCTTAATCCAGGTACTGGTAGCTCTGGCACTGTGTGCAGGCGCCACGTCCTGCTGGAAAATGAAATCTGCATCTCATAAAGTTGGTCAGCAGCAGGAAGCAGGAAGTCTCTAAAACTTCCTGGTAGATGCTGCGTTGACCTTTGACCTCAGAAAATACAGTGGACAACACCAGCAGAGGACATGGAGCCCAAAACCATCAGTGACTGTGGAAACGATGATTGTCCTGGAACCCAAAAGGAAGGCAGCTGTTGCCAGAGGGGGTTTCATTGATACGTCAGATTTTGATTTCTCTATGAATTGAAGATCTTTTATAATGGTTTTAACTCTCAGACTTTAGGAATGAATTGTCTACTTTTATCAGTGCTGTCCCTGAGCACGAAACAATGTGCTCACAACTACAGGCACAGTGCTTAGACAGCTTAAAGGGGTCAAACAGAGGAAAAGCCCAGGCCCTCATGGTACTGGGGGCGGGTCCTAAAACCTGTGCAGAGCAATTAGCAGATATTTTCTGCCACATTTTTAATAAATCTTTGGAGCTCTGCAAAGTGCCTAACATCTGGAAATCATCTATCCTGGTTCCCGTAGCCAAAATTAAATGTCCTAGGGAGCTAAACGATTTTAGGCCGACAGCGTTAACTTGTCTCGTGATGAAATCCTTCGAGGGAATTGTAAAACAGGAACTTTAGAGGCTCTCAGCCACTGCTGGGTCCACGTCCATGTTCCTGTAGAGCAGGAAGGGGGTGGACGATGCTACTGCAACCTTACTTCACATGACACTTACTCACCTGGAGGGAGCAAATAAAAAATAAAATAAAGTGGTGCGGATGCTTTTTATTGATTTTTCCTCAGCTTTTAATTCCATTCAACCCCATATATTGACAGAGAGACTAAAACAATGCACTGTGGATGTTGCCCTGGTCTTGTGGCTAATTGATTTTTTAACAAATAGGTCACAGCGGGTCAAACTGAATGGCACATGGTCTGATGCTGTGGTGTCCTCCACAGGTGCACCTCAGGGTTGTATTTCATCACCTCTGTTGTTTGTTCTTTATACAAACGTGCCAATCATCACATCATAAAGTTTGCTGATGACTCGGTTATCGTGTCTCTATTTAAGGGCAATGTTCTGACAGGCCCAGTTAATGTCCTGCAGGACTTTTTGGAGTGGAGCCAGTCATCCTTCCTGCACATTAATGCATCACAAACAAAAGTGATGTGCCCCTCTCCCTCCTGTTGCCATTAAGGGTCAGGGAGTGGAAGAGGTGCAAGAATACAAGTACCTGCTCATAATGATGGACAAAAAATGGACATTTGAGTCCCAGACTGATGGAATCTGTAGGAGAGCCCACCAGAGGATGCAGTTCCTCCAGAAGTTGAGGAGCTTAAATGTTGATTGCATTTTTATGAAAATGTTTTACAGCTGTTTTATTGAATCTGTCCTCACTTTTTAGTTTCTCTGCTGGTTTGGGTCGTTGAACTTAAAAAAACGTAATTGCTTACAGGGAGTTATCAAAGAATGCGGAAAAATTATAGGGATTCAATTGAATGACATCATGGATCTATTTAAGTCCAGATCAGGATCCAAAGCCAAAAAAATCTTGGCAGAGTCCACCCATCCTCTACACACTCTGTTCAATCTTCTTCCTTCAGGCAGAAGACGTGAGCTACCTAGGTGTAGAACGAACAGATCAGTCTTTGGTTTTGTTCAACAAAATATAGATTTAAGGCCTTATCCTAAGACTGCAGTTGAATTATCACAGTCCAACTCTTTTTTCTCTCCCTCGCTTCTTTTTAGTAATGTTTTTAAGTATTTTAATCTTGTTTTGAATGTACATTTTTATCCTGTTTTTATTAAATTTGTCATGTTTAAAGTTTGCATGAATGTGCTGGCTGTCATCTCCACCACTACTTACTGTAAATGAATTGCCCTTTGGGGACCTAATAAAGTGAAGTGAAAAACTTGACACGGGACCTGAAGCAACGTGGATTCTGTGTCTCCTCTCTTCCTCCAGACTCTGGGACCTTGATTTACAAAGGAAATGCAAAACGTACTTTCATCAGAGAACAGAACTTTGGACCACTCAGCAGCAGTCCCAGGTGAGACGCTTCTGACGCTGTCTCTTGTTCAAGAGTGGCTTGACAAAAGGAATGTGACAGCTGAAACCCATGTCCTGCATACGTCTGTGCGTGGTGGTTCTTGAAGCACTGACTCCAGCTGCAGTCCACTCTTTGTGAATCTCCCCCACATTTTGGAATGGGCTTTGTTTCAACATCCTCTCCAGGGTGCAGTTATCACATCATTTCCTTCCCTTCACCTCTCCATTAATGTGCTTGGACACAGAGCTCTGTGAACAGCCAGCCTCTTTAGCAATGACCTCACGTGTCTTGCCCTCCTTGTGCAGGTGTCAAGGGTCATGTTTTGGACAATTGTGTAGCTACAGAACTAGACTGAGACCATTTAAAGGTCTTTGCAGGTGTTTTGAGTTAATTATCTGATCAGAGTGTGGCACCAGGTGTCTTCAATACTGAACCTTTTCACATTATAATTTTCTGAGATATTAAATGTGTGGTTTTCATTAGTTGTCAGTTATAATCATCAACATTGAAGAAATAAACATTGAAATATATCAGTCTGTGTGTAATGAATGAATATAATATACAAGTTTCACTTTATGAATGGAATTACTGAAATAAATCAACTTTTTCATGATGTTCTCATTTTATGAGCAGCACCTGTAAAACTCTGAATGTAATGAGTGGATGAACAGCAGCTGAGTAACGACTGGCATTATTCTGGTTCAAGATGGCCGCCACAGCCAACTCAAGGTAAAAACACTACGATATTAAAAGTCAGTGAATTTGACTGATTTGAGCTCAAATTTGGTTCTTTAGTACTGAGATTAAATCACAACAGAACTTTATTTAAACTTTGACCAAAACAGAAACAACCTCAAGTCTGGCCAGAAAAGAAGCGGGCGATATGCATTCCTGTAGGGCCTGCGGGGCTGGAAGTGGACCTAAACCACCAGAAAACAGCTAAAGACGGGAGTTAGGGAACGTTTTAATCTCAGGTTGTGCTTCTGAATCCCAGTTTTAACATCAGATTAACAGTCAGATTAACCATCAGATTAATAGTTAATTTAACAGTCAGATTAAGGTCAAATTAACAGTCATATTAACATATTAACAGTCACATTAAGTAAGATTTAACAGTCAGATTAACCATCAGATTAATTCTGACTGTAGTCTGAGCTATATCTTCTCCTCTCATGAGGAGAAGTTCATCTGAAGCCGAGCTCGTGTGCAGAACAGGAGCCAGAGAGGCTCTTGTAAACCAGGATTAGTAATGATTTCCACCTCCGTCAGCAATCTGGGCCGGGCTCCTCTGAGCACTGAGCACGTGCAGCTTTCTCCACGTGTTCCCGTTAACGGGCCAGGAGCGACTCGTTAAGGCTTCAGGGGGTCTGAGGCGAGTCAGCAGCTCACAGGAAGGGTCCGTTTGATCGGAGCCTCGTGCTGACAGACATTACCCAGAAGACAAGTCCAACAAACGCATCCAGCAGCAGCTTTAAGCTCCTTTATCTAAACAGGAAGTGAGGTATTATCGTAATAATCCAGGAAGAACTTACTGACTGAGTCTGAAGGAGCTGGTTTCATCGTGTCTCCTCTTGAGCTTCCACTGGACTCAACTAAAGACACAAAAATCATCGTTACCAAACATTCAGATAATCTGCTGCTAATCTATGCTGTGCTGATACAGCTATCTGCAGTGTCTTACCATTAATTAATCATTAATAACTCATTAATTCATTTTCTCTAAAGTCAGTGACTTAAAGGGCAGAGACCAGCTGGACGGCGGCTCCAGAAGGTCCTAAAGTCCTCAGTTCCTTCTCCTGAGTCTCCGAGGCTCTCAGTCCTGATGCTTCAGTTTGAAACTTCTTCAAAACATTTGAGTCAAATGTTTACTTTGGATTATCACGACCTGAATCACCAGCAGAACCCTTGCATCCAGATTTGAGCCTGGAGTTTGATTTTGATCACTTCTGCAGGAACAAAAGTTCTTCTGAATATTTATTATTTTCTAAAATTCAAACATTTCCACATAAAGTATTTATTCTTCCATTAAATGTTGATAAGATTTAAGAACAATAATATACAGTACTTCTTAATTATTACACAGAACTGTCAATCTACCTGTTCTGTGAATTTGTGTTTGTTTTTCTTATTCACAGTTTTCTAATAATTTAACTCCAGGACTCAGTGATTTAATGACTCAGGGATTTAATAACTCTGTGATTTAATAAATCTGTGATTTAATGACTCAGTGATTTAATAACTCTGTGATTTAATGA